AATTAGACAAGCTCATGCTGTAACCACAGCTAAATTGTACAAATGGGGTGCTTTTCAGAGAAGCAGAAATAATGAAATCTGGTTTCCTGTGGATCTGTTTTCCTTGTTCTCTAGATGTGCCCTTCCAGCCAGCCCTCCTGGCTCCCACCCCTGCTCCTCATCAATCTGTACCTGTGCTGTTTGTCCAGCCTGCTCTTGCTGTTCCACCTGTCTCTGATAAGATACAGCCTCTTCTCTGTCGGGTTGCCCATCTTTCCTACAGAGGTTGCAAGAAGTAGCAGAGATCAATTTGTATGCAGCATCTGTTGATAGGTGTATATAAAAGACTGCCGGTGCTGGACACTGAGCTAGATTGTCAAGGGAAGAGAATGACACTCAGGCAAAGAGAGTGCTAATAAAAACCTGCTGTGTGTTTTCTGGATGTTTGGGTTGTGTTTTTTTTTTTTTTTCTTGGTTGGTTTGTTTTTTTAAACAGTGTTTCCCTGTTAGCACAGTTGATTTATGCACGTTGGGACAATTACTGTTTAGGATGAAACATTTTTCCTCCAGTACTGTCAGTTCTGTATCTGCATTTTTCTTGCTTAACCACACTGGGGTTGGCTTCCACATCCCTCACTGGGTTTAAATAGATCTTAGTCTCCAGAAGGCTGTTAAGTCCTAAACACCTGATCATGACTTGAAAGGCTGATGGTTACAAATTTCTGGTTGTGATTTATCCATTGTATTTATTAAAAATAATAATAATAATAATAAAATCCAAACAACAAAACAAACACAAAAACCCAACAAACGCTTCAGCCCAATAACTGCAAATTGAAAGTTGAATGCATCAAACTGAAACACATGAAGGAGCAGAAGTTCCAAGAAAACTTTTACTTTGCATTTTATATGTTTGTAAAGGACACATTCTTGGATTTGGACTGTTAGGTCACTGCCCTGTTTATCTGTTTCTTCTGATTAAACTGGGCAGATAATAAAAACCCTGTGTCCAAGCTGATGATCATCACAGCTGTGCCACAGAACTGGTGGGCAGTAAAAAGAATGAGAAGAGATTTCTTGATTTTATTTTTTCTTTTAAATCATAAATGATTGGTCCTCTGCATTTTCTGCAAAGTGGAACGCTGTGCTTTTGTTTCAAATGCTAGTCCTACAAATTTGTAACAGCATCCTTCTTTTAAAATTACAGAATCACTGTTGGATGTAGTGATAGTAGAGGCCACATTTGAGATCAGAGGGGCATAGTAGGAACAGTAAATGTCATCTCCTTCCCCGAAGAGATCAGTAAATAGTCACCATAAACTCCAGTGAAAAGCCAAAGGTGGACAGGATAATCACTCAATAAAAATCTATTATTAGGGTTTTTTATCAAGAGGTTACTCTGACAAGATAAAACATCAGATATCTTTGCTGTACCTGTGATGGCCTTTCACTCGAGAGTTGTCTAAACAGATCTTTTAGCACTTTAACTCTTTAAAGAGTAACCTTCATCAGCTTGGCCCTCCCTGGCAAGGAGGCAGTATACACTCTCTTGTTCTGTGGGTGGTGATGGTGCTGATCCATCAGCCTCTTTCATCCCTGTATCTCATACATGAAATAAAGAGGACTTTGGTAATAACAGAAATAGTAAGTGTGGAAATCTGGCTACTGCACACTCAACTGTTTTTCCTAACAGATGTTATTTTCATATGTTTTTCATCTGGTTTTAAGCTTGAGAATAAGGAATTTCTGGTGTGTCTATGAAGAGGGTTGAGAAGTTGGCTAACAAAGTGACAGGAGAGTGAAGACAGATTTCTGGGTTAGTTGGTGGCTGCTGTGGTCTGCAGCAAACCTGGGGGGCAGCTGTGTGGCTTTGCATTATTGGAGATCGTGGACAGATGAATCATCATCTGGAAGTGTCAGCAGCCATTTATTTCTTAATTTGTTTGAGAGAGACAACTCTGTGACCTTTAGCAATAAACATTTTTCATCCAAAAAATGCTGTCCTGATGACAGCAGATC